GCTGATGTTAAGCATCACGCCTCCAGCCCTTCCTGAACCACAGTTCTCTGTTCCAGTGCTGCAGTTTATCCCCCAAAATCTCTGCAATGCCCATCAACCATTTTTGACATGTATTGACATCAAGTTCCTCCTGTGTATTCCTTATACTAGTGTAAAGACGTTTCAGTTTAAGATGTTGCTTCATTCTCTCTCCTGTATCTTACAGTCCCAGCTCCAATGAATAATTCATTTACATCAATGAACTGCAACTGTCTGTCAGGACATAGAGTTTCACAGCAGAAGCTAAGACGGAACCTAAAATTTCAAGCCCCTCCTCCATCTGGCTTTGAGCCCAAAAGACTAGAAATAATGTTTATTGATTGTTGTCTTTCTCTTGGCTAGAACTGCTGTTGAGGAGTCACAAATCTCTCCTGAAAGTTTATTTGTAATAGCATGCTTCCATGAAGAAAGGTTCTGAGAAGTCAGCGTTTTTGACTGACCAGCCAACCAACCTTTAAAAAAGCAAAACACATTGTTGGAAAAGCCTGGTCAGCTATTAAGAGGACCTTAGAGCAGTCAAAACACTCTTGGCACCTAGCGAGTACATTGCCACAATAGTTCACACACAGAAATACAGCAGGTCCCCTTCCCTGACAAAAAAACCTCCAAACTACACTCATGCTGCAGTGCCAATGTCTTTATTACTATAAAAATCTGTAATTACACATTACCACTTAGGGACTCCGTATGTTTCAGAAAGCTTCAAGTCCACACAAAATACCCCAATTATGGTAACAAGTCTTGTTGGAGACTTTCTCTTTACAGAGGTCATCAAATTCAAACAGAAACAAAGACACTGTTAATTCAACACCCAGGCAAACTTTTGTTAAAACAGATTCATTAAACCTCTAAATATCAGGATTACCAAGCATCCATCATGAATCAAAAGCACTATGGTCTGTTTCTGTATTACACTTTAAGGCCTATCTTCTCTTAGCCAAAAATACGTATTTTAGTTCAATATTATTTCTTTAACTCATAGATTTGCTATCCAAACAGAACCTGAATTGTATACTCTTACCCCTAAGGCTGAAATTATTTACCAATTGCCAAGCTGATTTTCCTATTTACACTCACCGACAGATACCCCATGGTCTTCTCCAGCTATTCGACACTTCAGATTTGGGACAGTTTGTAAAAGCTAAATTCACTCAGTCATGCACAAAGGTATCGGAAGTATTTTTACACAGGCTTGCACTGTATTACTTGTCTCCTTGCTAGCACTGATCTATTTTGGAATCTATTTTACAAGCCATACACTGTGACCAGAATCCAACAAGTGGTATTCATTTAACCGAGACTCAGAGCTGGCTATTATTCCCCTACTTTTAGGGGTTTTTTTTCAGATACTATAGAGCACCACTCAAAAACATCTCTAAGATGGAGGGGAAATTGGACAGAGGTTTTAAAATTCAGATCAGTATTAGCTATGCTGCTGCTTATTCTAATCCTAACATTCACCCAAATATTAGATAGGTGGGTCAGGAAAAACATAGACAACACTGGAAGAGTCAAAGGAGGACAAACAGAATGGACAGTCTGCAGCCCAGAAGTACAGGAGCGTTATTCCAAATTCTGAGCTAAGCCAGTACACATTAATAACTACTGCTTATGGGGTTACTGGATTCCTGATCCCCACTATCCATTTGGGAGATTAAATATCGCAAGCATTGGCTGTGAAACAATGAAGATTTTTCTTTGGCGCTCCTGGCAGAGCTGCAGTCCAAGAACTGAGCCTTGCTACACTCGAGCCATTAGATGTAGCCCAACTTCTTAAGAGTTTGGCAAGAATATAGTCTATATAAAACGACTGCATGCTACGTCCCTCTAAAACTTCTCATGTTTGTCATCTAGGTGAGATTACATGTATCTTTATATAATGTTTTAAGCATATAACTAAGAATATATAGTATATAGTTGGCCCTTATGCAGCAAATGGCGGTCATATCATTGAATCACATGAACAAGAACCTGAACAACTGTTATTTTGTATTTTCAAGTTTCTGTATGATGCTAGAGGCAGAAACTGATTTTATGATGACTTGAAAGAGAATTAAAACAGTGTCATCAACTATTCATTTTAAAACTGATCTGAAGCATTTTTAATATATCAACATCAGCTTCCTCACCTCCCCAAGAGGAATACATTTGTTAATTACCCTCACAGATCAAAAGGTCATATGGGATGAAAATTCTTTTAGAAGAGGAATCTTAAATCTAGCAGACAAAAAAAAATTCAACATCTGGTTACCTGAAGTTGGAGAAAGAAGCAAAATAAATATAAAGTATGTATTTAAATTGTAAGGATAGGATCTTTTGGGGAATTCAATTATATAGAACAGATTTTATAGTGGGGACTCTTTCTGTATCAGAACATGAACATGGGACTAGTATTTTTGCTCTGCTACCTTTTATGGTTCTTCATTAAGACTAAGCCCAGAGGAAGTGGCATAAGCTCCTGCAGTTCTGAAATAAAGTTGGTTATCGGTGTTTGATACCTTGGCTGAGCAGTCCATTAATTCAGATTAGTCATCTGTTAGCAAATCATAGGGGAGAAAAACAAACTTTAATTCACTTATCACTAGCTTATGACTATAAAGAGAAGTCTTTGAGTACATTAAACAGCTGTTGAAACTGGTGAGGGACGGAGGGGTGCCAGAGGGCCCTTTGTAGGAGACAGGAGCAGCCCAGCATGTTACTATGATGGTCCTTTAACGAGATGACCAGCACAGGCTAGCAACAAGCAAAGCTATTTAGGGAGCCAGGTGCTGGGCCAGTGTCCAATTCCACTGCAATTTCTCCTAGAAGAGCTCAACTATAAATGCAGAGCACCCACAAAAGACTGCAGTTCTTGCAAAGATATGAAAGCTGCCAGCAAGTCTAAGAGCTCTGCACTGCTTATGGTCAGTTCACTTGGTGATGCCATTTTCAGGATAAATAATAACATCAAGAAGCAAATGACTGTTAAAAGGCTACTGCTCCAGCCTACTCACCTAAAGGGACACTCTAGAGAGCACAGGGTCCCATCAAACTGGTCCCAACACACCATATATGTTCTGGTGAATACCCAGCACAAAAAGCTGTGATAATGGTAAATTAATTAGTGGAGCCCACAAAAAAGATGCAGGAAACTATCTTACAGTTTTAAATAAGACTCGGCATTTTTTTAAAGACAATAATCTGTAGTTCAGAATCATTTATGAAACTGCTGGAAAGGCCAGGGTGTTATCTGTGTAAAGGAAGTGTGGTTAGATCATCACAGTAGTTTTAAGTTATGGCTAGAAACTTTAAAAGAAAAAGGAAAGCTTTGTTGATTTTTTACTTTTTAAATTCCTACCTGATTTAGAGACATTTACACTCAAAGAATCCCCCTGACAAGGGTGAGAAAAACTCATCCAAAATCCTGCAGCATGGCAGTATTAGGTATAGCCCAGCCCTGAGTTAATGATCATCTAATTTTTGTACAAAAAGCTATCGAGAAGGAGATTCCATCACTTCAAAGGTAGGGCAGATCCTCCACTCAGACTCCAGGAGCTTTAATCTGTGATGTTTCAACAATGTATTTAGTAGAACAGGATTCCTAATCTGCATAATCTTTAACCAGGGTAAGTATTCATTCAAAACTGAAGCTAAATAAAGACAGTAAGTAATAATTTAACATCCAAGCTCAGATTTAACATGTAAGAACAGATTGTAACCGAGTACCGTATCAATTTGACAGCAGAAGAAAGCAAAGAAACATGAACAGCTTTATATACACACACAAAGTATCACATAACTGGTTTGAAATAGGAACCAATTTCCCAGGGCTGTGAGCACCTCCAAATGTTCTTTTGTTTCAACAGGAATTGTGCACACTGTTAACAAATTGCTGATGCCATGCAAACATCTATATCCAAAAGTTAGTTGGTTCTTCGTCTGAAACTGTCCTCCCCCCACCTCGCAGATAACAGCAATCGGTAACAAGAGCTTCTGTTTCCCCAAACTTAGCCAAGCTTCCTTTTAAACAAAAAACATGAAGTACCAAATGAATACAGAATTTTAAGAGCTGAAAGAGTAATAATTTTCTTAAACTCAGAGATGTGATACAAAAGAAACAAGACTGAGTTGACAAATAAAATTATAGGCTGATGTTACATTTAACTATTTATATTAAAGCCACAGATGATGTCTAGTATGTAATCATGTTAAAACAAAAGTTTCAATAAAGCTTTACTATGAAAATGAAATTTGGTGAAGTTTAACAATAGTTTTGGCTACTGTGAAAATATTATTTTATTTGAAATGCATTCAGAATTTCAAATTGCTGAAATGCAAAATTTTCAAACCTGAAGTAGTCTACTATAACTGTAGCTGTTCTCTGAAATGAAGTATTAGCCCTCGTAACTAAGAAAAAAAAAATCCCTTCTCCACTTTGTTTTTTTCTTTTTTTTTACATCAGGGAAGGATGAGAAGTGCTCCCAGAACAAAGTCAATTTACAATTTTAAAAGGTTACTACAGAAAAAAACCATACATTCCTTTCTTTCCTTGTAACTATACCATATTTTAAACAAGACTGTGCCTAAATTCAGAGTATGCTTGATGTTTTAACTGCACAGGCATTAAATGTTGTCATATCTAATCATTGAAGAGTCCGATGGCATACTTCAATGGCATCAATCTTCACATTATGAGATGGGAAAGCAGTCATTCAGTTGCACTCAGATTGTCGGTTGCTTGCACCATGGTATAATTGCATTTAACCTGGAATCCAGTGAGAACTCACCCTGACCTTTCATGTTTCCCTGAAAAAGCTTTTCTACACTTTTATACAAACCAACAGACATACAGGATGAAGAGCTCAGTTCTTTCATTGACTATAAAAAGCAGGTTTTCTTAAAATGGATAGCTTAATAGTTATGCTAAGTATAGCTTTTGCCACATTTCTTGCTTGTAATTCAATGTAATGTTTCTTGATACCTCAGTCATCATCTTGCTGATTTCTTTTCTGTCAATGGAACAGAAGAGTTCATAATGTTAGGATACAGTCATCTGAAGTAAGAGCACTAATAAATCATGACAAGTGTTTCCACATACAATGGATATCAGACAATGACTGCATTTCTAAGCCGTTTTTTGAATAGTAAGAGAAAATGCTTCCAGCAAATGGAACAGAGCAATATCAACTCTCTTCCCCACCCAAAACTATAGGACTTTATTTCCAGTAAAGAACAAGATTTGGCCCGTATGTTAAACAACGGAATATACAAGAACCAGAAAACATGATGGTGGTGGCAGAAGTCAGTGGTCAAGATGAAGGCAACCTGCCCTCCCTTCCCTAGCTTACAAAGATGTCATCTTTTCATGTCACTGTTCATCAAAGAAGCAAAGAAATTGTATTGAAAAAGAAACAAGTGTTTAAGGTTTTTTCCTAATATATTTCTAGCTTTTTAATAAGTTCTTAAAAGCATTAGCTTCAGCCATTCAAAAAATACATTTCCATTTAAACTACATTTGTATTTACATTTAAATAAGAAAGAAAACAGCTAGGTCCTTCAGTACGATTTGTCAAACTACATTCATTGCTTCCTGTAAAGATAAAATTAATTAACTGAAGTGAGATCAGTATGAAAGCTGCTCTTCATCACTTACAAAAAAAAATAAATCAACAAAAAAAAAAATCAACTCAACAATACATTGTATGATGGTTTCATACATTACTTTTTCTGTAATTATGTAATGCACATTAATTACAAAAGCACAATTCCAGGCACTTTGATGTTGCCATTTCACAAAGATGGAAGGTCAGAAATTTTTTTCACTACTTCTTACCAGTTTAAGAAAGTCAATTAATTTGTGAACATCCTCTCCTGTAGAAAGGTCCACAAAATCTTTCGGCAGTCGGTAACTCAGGTATGGACTAGGCTGGACAGTAACTTTACTGTTCGTACAACGGAAAACTGGGTAGTCCTTTGGAAAAGATATTGGGTAAGACAAGAACAGCATAGGTGAATAAAGCTAGCAATGTTTCTGGAACTCCTCTGTCAGATTGTCCGAGTCACTTTGCCAGCGAGTTTATCTGGCACTAATCCAACTAAACCTGCGCTTTCTAAAAATCGTAGTTTTCTTATTAAAAACTCTGCCCACTTAAGAGCAAAAGTTAAAATGTTAATAACAGTCAAATAAAGGCATCCATTCCCTCACTTGAGAGTTTCTACAATGTATCAATCATTAATGCATTTAATAGACATACGCTTATAACAGTGCTGTAATAACGGAGCTATAAGGAACTTTGAGCAGTAGTATCTACATAAATATGTGGATAAAGAAAATCTTTATGATAGACTCCCTAAAGTTGTCTTCACAGGTTCCTTGTTTAAACCCATGTTTGCAAATATAACCTACTGAAATTATAATCTAAGCTTTCCAACCAATTTACTTACTGAAGGAAAAAAAAATCTCTATAAAATATCAAAAAATATCTCTAAACACTCAATTGTAGCAACAGGTTTTGGGTAACTTCGTGTAATTTTCAGTTCAACACATCAACGTGCAACATAATTGCCCACTGTATCGCAATATAGCAGTTTCATTTTAAAGACAGAACTTCGGTAACTTCACACCAGATTCTGTGATCGGATGTAAGCTGAAGCATGAAGACAAGTCATTCCACTTTTCATCCAGGCTTACAACCAGACAAAACCGTGTAAAGTGTCTGGCACTGAGAAAAAGAAATCCTCAAAACAAAATTCAGGTGTCCCATGGACAGCTCAAGAATTGGGAGTGTGATTTAACAAAGAAAACACAGCTTTTAGCAGGAAGGTTCATTGAATGGACTTTCATACAGCAATAGTCACACGGTGAGACTAAGAGAAAACAGCATGAATGATAGCTTGTAGAGCGCTGTATTTCCTTTTCAATGTGCTATGAAAATGGCGACAGAACTAAAGTATAGCTTGAATGTTAAAATCAGCTCAATAAAGCATGTAATTTCAGTTACCTCTAATGCAGTTTAACAGCTAGAAAATACAGAAAAGCTCACGCTATCTGACTAGCCATCTCCCTCCTCAGACAACTACCAAGTGTTTCCCAAGATCAAGTCACGTACTACTTTATATGTTCTATCCAGCTGTCCAAGGACTTGTTAAGATGTGAGGACTCGGTCTCAAGCATGCAGTGAGAAAAAAGCTGGAGTACAAATAAATGAAGACTATTCCTCCTTCTCTGTACTAACAGGAAGCTATTTATTTTCATGGAGGCAATGCAGCTTGGAAGAGGGATAGAAAAAGTCCTGCTCTGCAAGTCCAGGGAGTTCACCCAGAGGACAAGGCTTCCCTGAGGGTATTCAATACGAGGAAGAGACAGAAGTCAAGCTTCTTTTTGCCTCCCTTCAAACATAAATCTGGAGCTCTGGGAAACCGTATGACAGACACCAGGAACAAAGCAGAACTTTAAGTGCTTAGATAGAGAAGTAACAGATCTTAAGAGAAACTGAAGAGCATCCATCAAAACTGCATAAAAGCAAGTTTCAGGGCCTCTTCTTCACAATGTGGTCAAAGTCGCAATATAGGTTTGTATTGTTTGAACTAAAAACGCCCTCACAGGCCTGTAAAGCCAGCATGCGATACTTGTTGAGATTAACTACAGACTAGTAAGGCAGATTCTACTTACAAACAGTTTACATTTCATGACTTAAGGACCTCCATTTACTTGAATAAGATTTGCATCACAATTTTATAATAACAAAGAAAAAAAAGAAAGGAAAAAAAAAGGCCATAACGCCTGTTGGATTTGTTAGCCAGCCTCCCTCACCACAGGGCTGTACCTGTTCTGTTGCTTCCCCTTCACCCTGGTCTCCTTTCAGGTTTTTCCCAGAGGTCAGTTCTTCCCACGTAAACAGCAGGGAGTCTGTTACTTCACCAAATGGGTTAAAATCTATTAACCAAATCTTACCCTGCAATGGAACAATAGAAGAATTAAAACACAAACAAAAAAAAGGGAAAAAAACCTAAACCAGAATATACATATATTACCGCAGTATGCTTGGTCTTTAGATAAAAAGATGTCAAAATTGTCACCACCTGGTTTTAAGCACTTAAAATATTCTAACATCCTTTACATTAGACACAGTTTTAAAACACAGCAAGCTACAAGCTATGCTTTTTTTTTTTTTTTTTTTTTTTAAAAAAAACATCAAAAACAATTTACG